TGTGTGTGTGTGTGTGTGTGTGTGTGTGTGTGTGTGTGTGTGTGTGTGTGTGTGTGTGTGTGTGTGTGTGTGTGTTTACCAGCCCCAAGGTTTATGATTTAACTTCATTACAGTGTTTCAATCCGCCAAATAAACCAGATTTTTAAGGATCCCGAGTTGGACATTTGTAGCCAACAAAGGGAGAGATGTAGCAGGAAAGGTGTGTGCGCGCATGAGGGGAAAGTGGAGGAAGCACAGTAAGATTAATTTGTACCTTTGTGAGCCCAAATTACCTGGCAATCCTCAAATCATATTCTTCCCAAATGCATGCAAGTGGAAACAGGAACTAGTCTCTCTCCCTCCTTCCAAATGTTCCTGCCTAAAGAATTTTGCTCCATCCACTGATCTGGCTATTCGGCAGTGAAATGGATTTAGCTTCTGTTCCATCAGCCACCCATGCAGCCCAACTGTTAGCTAGGCAGCAATCAAGGAGATTCGCACCTTCCCACACAAAGATTCCCACAACACTGAGTCACAAAATCCACGGCAGCCATGACAACTCTGATCTGCAGGGATGAGTAAATATGAACAGTAATCACTCTCACATTGCCTTATTGGCAATGGGCAGAAGCTACAGGGTGAGTGAAGAGAAGATCGCCACAACCTCTGGGGAAAAATTATTACTTCCAATCTTCTCTCTTATGCAGCAGCAAAGGTTAAGCCAATTCAACTTCATGTTCAGCAGTTAGCCATTGCTTCCTGCTCTAGTCAATCCTTTAAGTCAGGGGTGCTCAGCCTCCAGGCTGCAGGGCTGATGTGGTCAGGAAGTTTGGCAGCAGTGGGGATGGGACGCTATTAATATGGTCATACTTTCTCCTGTTAAACCCCATTCCCTGTGCAGCTGGTGGGAGTCAAGCTAGCCCCCTCCACCCCACCCCACTTCTGGATAAGGATCAGGTCACACCCCCTTCCCTCCCTGTAAGGCCATGCTGGGCCTAGCCAGGACCCCTTCCCCCACTGAGGATGGGCCATGCCCCCTCCTGCCCAGGCTGGGCCACACCTGTCAAGCTCCTTTCCCTGCAGTATGCATTGAGGCTGGCCTGTCTGCATGGCCAGAGGGTGCCTGTTGTGCCCTCACCGGATTGGGAACACTGGCTGCATCCAGCCCATGGGTGGACCAGGCACTGCCAGTCTAGCCTTCCAGACAAAAAGATGGGGCACCACTGCTCTAAATCACTCTTACCAGTTAGGACTGGTTGTCTCCCAACACAAACTGTTTGCACTTTAGTTTCTCCAAAGCAGGGAGAAGCATTTCAAGTAGCCATCAAGTAAGGGTCAGCTTGTTCAGTCTGACTCCAATTTTTTCCTAATCCTAGCTCAGGCATTCTAGAACTTGTAAGCAGTGCCTGAATTAATGCTCTTCCTACTCTTCAAGAGTCTCCATTATCCTAATTCTCAGTAAGTGAGGCCAAACTTGTTTGCATTTGCCCTTGAATGAACCACTGTCTACCTACATCTGCCAAGTTAAGCAGAATAGTCAGAAAGCTCTTTCTGAAGTTATATTTAGAGTGGCAATAAAGGATCAGGGGAATGAAGAATTTGCCCAATTACAGACCTCCGGTTTAATACTACAAAAAATTATGGCTTTAGCTTACAACATAGGAACTTAAGCTGCCTGTGTGTCTGCCTGGTAATATTAATGTACTGAATAGAAGGAACAAAAAGCATCAGTCATCTCTATCCAAAATCCACACAATCAAACCTATTGCTTTCAAGCTTAAGGGAGGGGATAAAGGGTGGGGGATGGGGAAATAATCAGGGAAGCTAAGCAGCTAAGATTTGATGAGACATCTTGGCCAAAATAAACATTTTTATTAATATATGAGCAGTGCTACTGAATGAGAGAAGGAAGTGAAATATTAAATTGCTATCTATTTGCAAGCTTTGACGCCTATCTTGCCGGGGTCCTTTGACCCTAGCTGACTTCCTGCCCCTGGGGCTGGACTTGATGATCTTCAAGGTCCCTTCCAGCCCTAACGTCTATGAAATCTATGAAAAAAAATAATTGGAATCGGGAGCCAAGCAAGTTGTATGACTGGAATGAGTGCTCCAACCAAGATAGCCAATTAAGTAATTATAAATCCTATACTTAAGCACGCATGTCAGAGTTCGTATCCCCCTTGGGAGGTTACCTCAGTTCCACACATGCAATAAAATAGGCTTATCAGATTTGGTGATTGCCAAGTAGAAAGGAACTAAAACCTATGTGTTATTTATTCAGTCTTATTTTAAGTAAGTATCAAATGATCATGAACTCCCTAGTTTCCCTTCATCCTCACTTTGCACCTGGATTCTGTTTTTCTAGTGACAGAGCCTAAGAGAATGGCCTGTTGCTTTTATTTAGGATATTCCCTCCATTTGGGTCACACTTTTTCCAACTAGTTTGAAGATGTGTTCTTGTTCTTCTTCTGCAGAGCAACTACAATCCAAAATTTGTTGAAGTTACCAAATCAAAGATTCCACCCCCTTGTATTCTAGCTGGAAGCAGGGATCCAAGGAGCCAAATATGCTATTGTTGTATTGTGATGAAAATGTCAATGTGCCATGCATGTCCTGTTGTCAGTCTGCACTGGAGAACAGAAGACGGCATGCTATTCCACAACCATGCTCATTCTGCAGTGCAGAACTGCAAGTAAACTACAGACATAGGGGAGCAGACAAACAGAAGGGCCATTATTGGGGCACTTTCCTATCTATACCTACTATCACAATTTCCCCACAGTACTGACATGCTGACCAATGCAATCTCACTCAGCAAGGGCTACCTTTTGTTGCACTTCCTGATCTCTCTCCCTCCCTCCCTCTTTGATCTTGGCGTCTACCTTCCATTCCTTGCTGACCTTCCCTTCCTGTTCTTCCTTATGATCTCTTCCTGCAACAGTGTGCTGGTAGAGGAGTCCTAGCAGAAGTGCCTTGTTTAGTGGTCAGGATGGGGGCCCATCTCAGCCAGCTGAGACACTGCAGTCAATGTCATCAACAGGTTGAGAGGCTGTTCTCTTACATGTGGAGAAGCCCATGAAAGAAGAGGCAAGGATGGGAGTTATGTACTAAATATCTCTCCCAATTCCTGTAGCATTTCATTCTCAATACCACAGCACCTAAGAGGGCCAGTCACAGTCCAGGATCCCTCAAAACAAGACTGTTCTGACCCCAGAAACTTACAAACTAGGAATTCAAAAGATGTGAACAGCAGCAAGCACTGCAGTGACATTCCAGCCCTATTAACATGGGTCCCACATGCTGACTTCTTACTTTAGAGAAGCATCCCAGTTTCAGGTACCAGGTAATTCTACCTCAGTTCGAAAAGGGTTTTATCACTGCAAGTCAGTCACGGGTGCCAAGAACCGGTGTCAGAATCTGTTATGAATTCTAGCAGTCTTGCTCTATTCAGCCACAGGACTATTTTCAGGGTTGTTGTAGTTTGCACTGTTTTATGGAGTTGAAACATGCCTTACGTTGCTCACGCGAATCAGGTGAGTGGCTGCCTGTGTGGTGGTTAACCACATTTTCTGAGGATGAACAGTTTCACGCATGTACACACAAAAACTAGAGACACAAAGCCGACAGCAAGATGCGTATAAAGACTAGCAATGCTAGATTAGTCTGGCCTCACCTTGTGCATAGCATGGAATAAGATTTCCACAGCACCCAAGCGTCCCCAGTTACAAAGAGAAACCTGAACCTATGGATTACACAAACTCAGAAAACTGACCCACCTGAACTATGAAGTTCAGATACAATTTGAGCCAATTTAGTCCAGAAGAAAAATCCTCCTAGCAAATTAAGATTCTACAGCATTTTCCATACAAGGCAGAGTTTTCTGCTGCTACGGAAAATGTGACCCCCACCACTTATGAACTGTTTTAGTTAGCCTAGCAAAGTTCTCTGAAAAAACTGTTGGCTACAGCAAGACAAGCAAACGACTTCTCTTACCTCTGTATGGAATTTGTTGTCACACAAATACAATGACGTATTGATTGGTTTGAATGGTTCAAAGTCTATGTTGACTTTCTTTTCTTTTCCTTCTTCCGTCACAATTGTTCCACAGTAAACAACCAGACCATTTGGAGGTACTATAAAGGACATTTGAAATAATAAAATTTAGGCTACTAAATATCAAATCCTACATCCATCACTTAAAACTACAAATACCAGGATGCCAGAAATTAAGGCATAGATTTAATATGACAGCACCTATTTCTCTTTACTGTACAAATTCCCACCATAAAAAACAAAACAACCTCTGAAGGACTTGTGTATTTGAAGGAAGAAAAACTTAGGAGGAAAGCATAAGGTCACTTCTAGGAAACAGCTGAAAGCAAGAAACTTATAGATAGGAGAACGACTTGCTGGTAACTGAATACTTTGTTATGACAGAAATACTTTGGTGGGGCTCAGATTTTAAGAATTCATACCCATGAGCTGAGAAGCAAATATGTACAATTTGTAACAGGTGAATGAAAACTAAACAGCTTTACCCTTCAACAAGCTTTAGTTAAAGCGCCCCTGCTGCCATTTTTCAGCACAGAGACAGTGATACACATGATGCTCTGGGTGCTTTAATTAGAGCAGCTTCAAGAGCTGCTCTAATTAAAGCACCTCTCCCCCTCCTTCCCCACCACTCCCAGAGCACATGTATAAACAGTTCTGAGGTGGTACCTCTCTCCTGGAACTGGTCTGATCCCATAACCCTTGGCTTAACTGTCCTAAATTGGGCTACCTGCCTATGCAGCTTTAAAAAGCTGCATTACTGGATCCTTCCCTTCAGAAGCACATCTCTCAGGATCAATTCAGGGTTTGACTCAAGGTATGCAAGCTTCTCAAGTGTGAACGTGGTTACTATTTCATGCCGACCGATAGTGGCTCCCATTTTTTGTGTGGGTGACCCCACTTCCAGTCAGTTTCCAACCGTAGATATTATAATTAAGTTTCCACGGACCTCACAACCAACTTCTACATTTCCCTTTTAGCATGGGAACTGCCAGTCTAATCCTGTTGATGTCAACTTGGCTCTTCAGTGTTATTTCAGTTCTTAAGATTTGTAAATTTAGTCTGCAAAACAAGCCTTAAGGTGGGGAAAAGGGTAACCAAGAGTGCAGTTATGACAGTGCTCAGATCCTCATAGGCATGAGGACAAACCCCACTGCTCTAAGAATGGTACAAACATGCCAAGGGCAGTAGAACAAATCAACAGAAAGGCCTTGGCACTTTAAGGGGAGAGGATTCAAGAAAGTTTCCTTAAGAAAGACATGCTAATAGCAACAGGGAAACCTTGTACTGTAAGTGCCATGAGCAGTCAACAGACGAAAGCAACCGATTCAGAAGGCTTGTCCTTGTCAGTCTGCAACAACAGCCCATGACTACCTCTGAGGTAAGGAAAGTTTTGAAGAAAAGTACCAAGCATGAGTCCAAGGAAAGGCATTACCTTTGTTATAGAGTTTGAGTCTTTGCTGTACAGATGTAATGGCTCCCAGAACTGAAAGGCGATTCACTCGAGACTTTATGTTTGAGGCGGTACCAAATTCATCTGCTAACATTTTTGCCACTCGTGAAATCTGGTCTTTGGGGGGAATGATCAATGATATCATGCTGGTGCCATTGCTAAGGAAGAAAGGATTTGAATTAGCATACAGTTTACCAACAAATTAAAGCAGTATACATTGATGGGTGCAAGAAGATAGGCAAGTGGATGTTATGAACCACATCCTAGGATAAACTGGGTGCCTCACTTTACCATTCACACCACACTCGTTCTCCTTCCACCACCCAGTCAGCTTACTGTCTAATGCCTTTAAGGTCTTCAAAGCAGCAGGTTGGGTCCTACCATAGGCAATGCATGTGCCCACCCTGAGATCGGCCGCAGCTGAAGCCGCTGCTGGCTTCTGTGGGCAGTTGCCACCCCCCTGTCATTGCTGATGTGGCCACCGGTGG